TGCTTACAGCCCACTTGCCGACCTCGAATCACAGGCTGTGAAGCAGCTTCACAATAGGCAGACGGCTTTGCAGCAGCCTCTCCCACAGTGCTTACAAGAACGACGCCAGGAAGGCCGCGCGGCAGTTCCTCTGAAAACTCCAAACAATCGCTCCGTTCACCCTCCACGTGAGGAACGCAAGAACCGAACTGCCCAAGAAGACCTTTGCGAGCACCAGATTGGGGCCTCCTCGCTTGCTTCAGACGGGCTGAAACCTTCACAGCAATGCGCATTAGGCTGCGTACCTGTGGCTACGCCTCGCGAACCGCGCGCCAGTAAGCGCGTCCAGCGCGAAGTAATGCAGCTCCCGATAACTCCAATGCAGTCTCCAGCTGCCTCGGACCGCCCTGTGCGGAAAGCGTACCAGCAGCAGCAACAAGTTCATCACTCCACCTGGTGTTTCAAAGTGCAACAGGGACATAAGACACCTCAGATAGTGGCAAAGCAGGTGGGCGGCCTCCGTCCCTCGAAGCAACAGCGGCACAGGTACCTAGTCAGCAGCCGCAGCCAAGGGATTTAACCAAATGGCTCCCTGCATAGTTCCCTGCGTGGCGGTTACAAATAAATGGTCGATGTAGTATCTTATGGTTAGAGTAGAGCTCCTTTGCGTGAAGCATTGATGCTTGGCGCCGCGACCAGATCTGTTGAAGGAGACTTGGTGGGGAAAGGGAGGGGATCGGGGGTAGCGAAGAGTGGAATGATGGCCTAGGAGAAAGCTCTGCACTTCAACCACCCTACGAAAGATTTCTGGCTAACTCCATCTCTGGAACCTTGCATTTGTTGAATGCTCTGCTCGCAGTCGCAGACCTGAGACCCTTATCTCTCCCCACAGCAGCCTCATCACCCTGCAGGACGGATGTGCCTCTGAAAGCGCGTGCTTGCATCGAGAAGAGGCAGATGTTCCTTCGGCATCCGCGGCGGCTTGTGGCACACGCCAGCCTTGCTGTAAAGCCGTCTCCTCTGCTCTACAGCCTCACAATGTGCCGTGTCAGACGATGATTAGGGAATGCGCAGGAGCAGCTGCGGGGGCTCTGTGTGCAAGCACCACGCCGGTCCAGAGGGCCCCCACGATTGTGCAAGACAAGTCCAAAGGTGGAATTTTCTCCGCATCGTCTCATTTTGCTACACACAGCGCTGAGCAGGCAACAACGACTGAGTTAAAAAAGCTGCCAGCCCCATCATGCAACTTTTGGCGATCTGTTCGCGCCTCAGGAAGTAGCCCGGAATGCAGCCTGCCAACCCCACTCGTCTCCAGCAGTACTATTCCAGCAACAGTGCAATACCCAACTAAACGCACCTCGCCAGTGACCAGTTGCGAAGCACTGGAGGTTAGCTCAAGCCAAGTGTGCCTCTCGGATTCTCCAAAGTGCAGCTGCTTCGGGCGGGAAGCTAATTACTACTCAAGAGGGCCTTCGAACACCACAGCCCATAAAATAGCTAGCGCCTCTCCGATATGCTGTAACTGCAAAATCAGGAGCCACTCGGCAGGCTCTGGGCTGGTCCTGCCTGCAGAAGCTAGTGAACAAGGAATTGAATTTACATTGAACCGACCTTGCTGCAGGCCTGTCAAAAACAGTCATGAAGGGCATTCAGCAGCCAAAGGATGCTTACGAAGCCTATCGTCTCCGGGCCGAGTGAGGCCGGCAACTCCGGTCCCTGCGCAGCTTGCTGGTACTGTAGCAGGCGAAGAGGCAGCGTCTCCGTTTCCATGTGACTGCCGAATACAGCGCAATGAAGCTCGTAGGCATGAGTGTGCAGACGGCAGTGCGTGTCACTGCCTCTGTCGGCCAAGGGCTTTGTGCATGTCATTGACTACAACCTTTTCAGAGACTTCCGCAGCAAGCGATAAAGAGGAGGCTTGGAAAGAAAAGGGTGCTCAAGTAGCTTCCTTGAGGCCCTTAATGGATCCTGAAGGACTTGAGAGTGATCAGAAAGGAGTGGTCAGCCACTGTGACTTCCCTCGACTCCAGCTGGGTCCCCCGCTATTGCAGCATCTCGGTGAGGGAGACGGCCGGGAGGAAGTCCGAGTACAAGAGGCGGCCATTCAGGAGGTCAAGCGCTCTGGGTGCGCAGGCTCATGTAATTGCCTCATTGCACCACCTGGTAGAAGCCTCCTTCCAAACCGATTTCACGAGGAAAGGTGGATGCCTAGGGGGAACGGATCAAACCAAATAAATGCTTGCACGGAGTTACAGGCGGCTGGGCTGCGTCGTGTGGCCGAGACTCGGAAAAAGACGACGTGCGAGAAATTTTTGGATATGCTGCAGGGAACGAAAAAACGCCGTTGGGACAGCGCGCTCTCATTCGACGGCAGACACATCAGCAACAGTTCTCTGGATGCAGGTAGTGCAGAGGGAATCGTTTCCCAGAACTCCCACGTACAGAACAAACGCTGCAGTCCCAAGCCTTGTGGCCAGAAGACTGGGCACAGAGAAGGCGCCTCGTGTCCCTGTAGCACTTCTTCACCACGTCGTATTCTCAGCGAATTGTCACCATGCTCTCTGAGAGGGTGTCGCTTGCTGGACACCGGCTCGCCTTTCCAAAAAAAAGGAGAGTCTTGCGTGCCAATGCAAGCGGTCGCAGTAGGCGAAGCGCTTGCTGTTAATTGGACTTCTACTCCTACCGTCCGGGCAGACGAAAACAGGGTGGGCTGCGGCGAGGGTGTCGTCGATCCGGAACGTCCAGAAAGCCCATCCAGATTGGGAGCCTCTGCTTGTCCTTCCTCGACCCTAAAGCAAGACGCTTCGACATGGCATGAAGGCCAGGAAGGCACTGCGCCTGTACAGGGATGCACACACGCATACTTCCAACCACCCTCACTTAGCGTAAACCCCTCCTTGGTCCCCTCCAAGGTCACAGGCATGCAATTATTGCAGCTGCCACAGCCGCCTGGAAGCTGCCATGCGTCCTCACCTCTCCGAAGCTGCAGTCCGCTGGCAAAGACAGCAATCGAAGCAGAGCTAAAGTTTGTTTGTCCTTCTTCGCCACCGAGTGCAGCAATTGCCTGCCCAGTGGCACCGCAGCAGCCTCTAGAGAATCCAACACTCCCGTTGCTGCAGAAGGGGAATGCGGACGCTCCCACTGTGGGAACCAACTTTCCATCACAAGGAGCTCAGGTGGGGGATTGCCCACCGGGCGAAAGGGAAAACGCTATCTTGGAAACTGAGCCTATTCATGGACCTTCTGTTTCCGCTAGCAGGCGGCCTGCTGCTACAAAGTCATCGTGGCCGTCGACTGCCAAGCATCCTGCTTTGTTCGATAACAAGATTTTGTCCCCCTTGGTGAATCGCCTCATGGATACCAGGGCAGCGACGACACTTGCTGTGGAGCCACCACATACGCCTGGAGAAGGGTCAAAGCAACCTCTGAAAGCTGTAGCACCCGACGGTGCCCAGATTGCCATGTGGCAAACGCCGCATCAGCATGTAGCCAACATAGCAGCGCGCTGCTTATCCGGAAAGGCCAGCCTAGCAAGTCGAGTTCTATGCCGCCTCCGTCAGCGTGTGCGCCTCACACGCTTCCGACATAAGATTGCCACTCGTCGCAGAGCCCCCTGTACTCTCCCATCCGCTGACCACTTAGCGAGTGCTATGGCCCAAGGCTGCAAGGATAAGCCAAAGTTGGTTACGGAAGCCTTGTTCCTCGCCCCAATGCCACTAAGGGCATTAGGGGTGAAAGAAACTACGCTAGCTTCGCTAGCAGATAAGACCGCTCAACCAGATAAAGCTGAATTCCCACCGAGAAGAACACAAAGAAGGGTAAGTTCCTTGCAGCAACAGCATGCAAGGCAAAAGCCGACTACAGCAGAAAGCATATCGATATCATCCACGGCTCATGCGCCCCATTTGGCGAAACCAAGCAAAGATACTGCTCAAAGAATGCCTTCTGAGCGAGACAGCTCCCGAGAAGATTTAAAGTGGACTTCAAGCGGTGGGCCACTCCTCTTCTCAGCTTCAGCTTCTCACAACCGTCTTCCCACTTCCCCTTCATGCAGCTGTTCAAACTTAATTTGCGCAAATACAGAATTGAGCCGCTCGACCGAGTATCTAAGCAGCGAACGGCCCAAGAATACGTCGAAGTGTATTCGCCAGGAACTGAAGTCCACAAGCGACATTATACAAGCGGTGCTCGATGGCGCTCGCAGAGCCGTGGCTACTGCGGATTCCATAATAGATGGCTTGGATCCATGGAGTACTGCTGGCAAAAGCAACAATCGAGGACACAGACGCTGTCGCTCTCACCAAAAAAGGCAAATCCAGGCCTCTAGAGCCCCGAGAGTATTTCATAATGCGACAGCGCCTACACCATCCCCTTCTGCAGTGGGATGCAATCCTGAAAGCAACGGCCTTGGTCAGGCTTCTTGCGCGACAGCACGGTGCCAGCGTTGCGAGAACTCAGAGCTGCAGCGATGGCAAAAGCTGCTGGAGCTCAATCAAATACTACAACAGCGTAAAGAATGAATCCCCATCAGCGGAGTTCCCTGTTCGTTTTCCCAGGCAGCCAGTAGACGTCAAGGAGGACTGGACATCTGTGCTGCAAGATTCCTGCAGTCAGCACCCCGGTAGGTGGAGGGGCTATTAGCGTTCACCGTCACATTGAATGGCAGTGTACAACATTCATGACTGAAGATTAATCTTTCGTCAAGGTTTTGCGTTCATGGACGGTCGTGCCTCTACTGCTCCTCTTGAAGTTTCTTTTTAAAACCCCTTGGCCTCACAACGTCGAATTACGTAGGAGAAAAATAATATTATCTGTTTCTATTCCAGAAACCCCCTTTCCTCGCCACACCCGGCAGATACCAGGTCTGCAGGGAATGAAGAAGAGTATGGGATTAAAAAGCTGCACTACTAGGGCGTTCGCAAAACGCACAGTTACTTTGCTCAATACTTCTAAAACGTTTGCCGCATGCGTACGTGAGATACCACGATACACATCAAACGCAGCAGAAGAGCGGTACAACAATGGAGCTCGTTGTAGCTGAAATCGAAATCCAAACTGTAATCAAGTTATGTTTGCCGAAGTGCAGCTCCGCCCGCTACGCTGAAAGTGACGTTGTACAAGCAGCATACGCCCCGTCATAGAGCATGTGTTCTAAGACTTTGGGCACATTTTTCCGAGCAATTCACTATAGATAAGAGACCCGATAGAGGGGGCAAATTCAAACAGACGAAACCCCAATGGACCGACTTCAACGATTCCCATATTCCTGTTTTGAGCTTTCTTTACAATTCCAGACTACTGCTATTGGATTAGTAGGGACTGCTATACTCCCAGAACGGGAAATCCTGCAGCACCGTATGACTTTAAATACTGTATTATGTGAGGCCAGCCCTGGAGCGGCTCCCTTGAAGGAAGTCATTGTGCCAAGTGTCTTCGTTATGAGCCACTCTTGGGAGCATAAAGGCGTGGAGGGGTCTAATCCCGACGTTCCATCGGGTCAATACACGTCTATATCTGTATTTTCCTCCATATGTATTTACACATGTTGCTTAATTTTGAGTTTGTTTAATATTTTACTATGAGTTGGCAGAGGCAGAACACGGGTAGTGGGTGGATCGGCTGCGCTTGGCTGCAGCGGACGGACCCGAAAGCAACCGACAAAAGAAACGCGTATTCCTGTAAGTGGAAACTTTTCAATTTCTATAATGCCTGAGCGAAGTTGCTTTCTCGCAACTGGTGAAGGGATCAAGAGCTTACTGATTGGCGAAACCTCCGTGCCCCCCATTCTTCCACGTGTATGACGCCATCCGCATCGTTTGCAGTGGCCAGATATGGCTGTCTTCCAATCCGTATATATGATGGAGCGGTGCTTTTAGGGTCAGAATCTGTCTTACAGCAGAAGCAAGCGCATCTCCAGCAGCTCGAAAGAAGTTCTACTTCTGACCTTTTCCCCTGTCCCCACCCCACGCAGTCAGCACATGTACCCCCCTTTGCCTCTTCCCCACCGTATCCAGCCATTGCTGACGCCGCGATCGTGCCATCACTGCGTGCTCTTGCCGCCATTTGGCGTTCCCCGTCGAATCATCACGGGGCGTGCCGGCCAAGTGGCTCGGTCTGGTTTTTGTGGATACTCCTATTCTTTGTAGTGGCATTTGCCATGGAATCTGACGCACTAAAGGAGGCTTCCACGACCAAGGGACCCATGTTAAGAACTCTCCTCCGCAGTGCACTTGCATCGCAGCAGCCCTGCACAGCACTCGCGGAAGCGGCGCATGAAGGGGGCGTCAAAGTCATTGCGGTAGACTTTGACATGACAATGATCACCACTCACTCAGGCAAGTGCTTGAACACAGCAATGCAGCCAAAACTGAGCCTCTTTCACCCTTCCCCATAAGGTGTAGCCCATCAACTGAGCAGCAACTTCCATAGTCTTTCCCATGCGGGATGGCATGCTGTAACCACCCCTTAATCTGCTACAAGACAGCAACTCGCCATAAGGTGCTTTAGCCACCATATCGACACCCCGTCATCACATCTTAGAGCCTTCTGCCTGCTGAGACCACGAGGCTTAGGGACATATTGAGCTATCAGCAAACAATGGCACCTTCGGGGAGCAGCGCAGTTCTTGAGCAAGCATGATTTATCAGTCAGCCGCATGCTGGTTTCTTCAAAACTTTGGCTTCGAGTCGCCTGTATTCGTCTCTGGCTGCACTTCGTGTTGTGAGCCTCGTGTCAGGTGGCAGCGCCTCCAACACTCCAGGAAATCCTGTGTTCACTTCGCTGTCTGCGGACTTCGACACGTTCGCTACGGCTGCGTCTGCGTATGGAATCAAGATCGCTGTTGTCACATTCGGAGGTAAGGCTCTCCTGTGTCTTTTTGTTTCTGTTAGCGCATCGTTTCTTGGCGTGTAATGGCTTTGGATCTTGTTCGCCCTTCGTGTGTGCATGTGATGCCTTTGCTAGCCCTCGTACATGTATACACAAATATGTATTGGCTATAAAGTTTTTGTTTCTGCTGTCTGAAGACCCTAAGACCGTAGCTTCTTATCCAGGGCGGCTTGCGGGTGCTCCTCTGGTCCACCGAGTTCTTGAGGAGAGCGCCGCTTCGTTTAGAGTCGATGCAGTCTTCCCGTTCTACCCACCGTAAGGCTACAGGAGTGATGATTGAGAAGGTCTCTATGGCGAGCAGCCTCCGTGTTGGCGCGGTAGAGGGTGGGGGGGTGTGAACGCGGCCTACTGGCTGTAGGGATGGTCAGATGTGTTTTGGATCTGGCAGCTCACTTTTGTTCATTCTGATGCCTTGAGTGTGGGGGTTCATGGGCAGCGGAGGAGGCAACAGAGCTCAGCTCCTTGCTGGCTGCAATATACCCCCTTAGCATGTCTGTGCGGATGGACTGGGCAATCTCTTCAGGCTATACAAGTCCCCCACTGATTATAGGGGATTGGGGTTGAAAGCGCCGATGCCGTATAATAAATCTTTCCACATAGCGCAAGTGAGTTGCTTCCAGCTTTCTCTTCTCGGCTAGCACTGCTTCCTCGTCTATTTGCTCCGCTGCCTCCATCTCTGTCACACGTTGGTTTCCTGCGCGTGCTCCCTGCATTTCATTTGTTCCAGTGCTGAGCCATCCGCGTAGCGACGCTGCCCTTCGTAGATTGCGTGGCCTTCAGTCTAGCTATTACCATTTAAAGGCTTTTTTCCGTTGTGCTTATTGCGCTAAATCCTTGTTATTCTGTCTCGCTACGATTCCGTGCTTCTTGTGGGCCTAGTGGCCCGAGGATGGCAGCCTACGAACTCTCAAGGTGCAAACATTTTAACGGCGTGCCATTTTTCAATTGTGTTTTTGCTTTAGTTGTGTGCCCATTTTGGGGTACTACGAGACGAAGTGCTGCTGGTTGACGACGATGCCAACAACTGCATGGCGTTTAATGAGGAGGGCGGTGTTGCCCTGCGCGTGCAAGGAGGACATGGTTTTGATGTGACAGACCTTCAGGTTCACTAAGTATTGCAGCGAGTGCCAGTTTGTCTTTTAAAACAGTGTGGGGGGGGAAGGGGCCGGAGTCCTATGCGGGTAAAGGGCGTTTATCTGTTCCTCGAGCCTTTCCATCGGCCTTTACTCTCATCGACTTGGCCGGCGTTTCTTGTGGCCCCTCCAGCGCGAGGGCTCAACTGTTTGCTCGCAGTGGTGAGGCAGACGGTCCTGGTGTCTAAAGTACAGTGACATCGCATATACAGAACCGAAGGGTGTGGAGTCTTTTCCTTCGCAGTCCGTTCAGCAAACTGCGAAGCATCAGGCCTCTTTTTGCACTTGGCCCCATGCCCTTCCCTTTTTTTCCTCCCCGCCTGCCCACATACATAATGCTTGTCTGATGTGCTTTGTTTGGTTCGGGAGACGCACTGATACTTGCTGCCTCTTCGTGGGCATTCCAGTCTCGTCGGTGTCAACAACTCTGCTAACAGTGGCGTCGAGTCCAGTCCCCCTCTTCGCCGTGAAAGGGGGGAGGACAGGGGCCCTTGCTAGTGGGATTACAGGGACAGTGGCTGCCGAGGGTAGACAGAAAGCACCTCCGAAACGCTGCGGTTTCACCGATCATTCCGAATCCACTATATTTCTCGACTGTCGCCTAGCTTTAGGCCGTGCCTTTTATCTCAGCCTACACGCAGGTCTCGTCACGTACGCGTATGGAGGAAAACCTTTTCCTCTCTCCCACGCAAACTGCCACTGTTTCCAAAGAATTCTCACACTTCGTCGAAGTGGACCTTAACCAGGGAAGAGTGCATCTCGCACTTCTGTAGTAACCAGTGTTTAGAAAAGGCAGACGAAAAAGCGCCTGCGCTCTGTTGATCCTCGTCAGAAACGGGCCTTCCCGACAATCATCTTGAGGGTGAAGTTACTATATGTAGCTCGACGCAGTGGTGGTGCACAACAGGCCAGATGCGTTGGCTCGCAAATTGCTCAAGGAGGAAGATGTGGTGGTCTGCATTGCCTTCCTATTCTGGAGCCTCGCCTACGGTGGCAATGTTTGCGAGGGCGGCTCTGCGCCTCTGTAGGGTCCCTACACGACAGCAGCTCGCAAAGGCTTAGGCCGAAGTCCTGCCTCACAGGAACGTGAATCGGCCGTGTGTTGCCATCCCACAGACTCCCCGAACGAGCAGAGCCTTGCGAGCCAAAGGGGCACCTGACTAGCTAGTCTTGCTCCAGTGCTCCTCTGTATTGGAGGATGGATGCCACTAAAGTACAATTATTGTGCCGGCTTGAGGAAAGGCGCAGCGGTCAGTACCCAGCACGAGGCGGGTGGTTTCGCACAGATTCAACTAGAAGACCAACAGTTTAGGCCTGACTCGTTCTGTGACTAGGCTGGTGGGCTGCTTCAGAGCAAGGGACAACTGCGACTATTGCCTAATCTGCTTTGTAGAAGAAGGACTTTTTAAACGCTCGATCAGCGCCAGACTCGGAGGCTCTGCGTTTCTGCCCCTCGAATAGCGCAGCTAGCCCGCCGTCGCAGCCCTTGCGTTGCTGTTGCTGTTGCTGCTGCCACTGCAGGAAGACATCAGTCAGAAGCACGGCAGTACAACACAGATCCATTTTCGGTTCGCAGCGGAGGAAGGATAGCAAAAGAAATCCATGTACTTCATTGTTGGCGCTCAAAACGGTGGGGGAACCGCAATAGGCAAGCAGTGGCAGAGGGCTTCAGGAGAAAGGGAGGACGACACACTGGAGAGGAGTGCTATGCAGCAGCCAAGGAGCGCTCCTAGAGGACAGTCAGTGGAGGATTTTTTGTGCGATGAGGAGGAAAAAGGACGGCAGAATATCATCGAGGAAGTGGGGATTACGCCTCTGCAGGTGTCAAGTTGGCTGCTTTTGTATGTAGTCGAACCTGGATAAGCCTCTGAATCGATTTCTTTTCTGTTTGCACACCCGAGAGCCCCCCCTTTGTTGCGAGGTTCCCTGGCTCTGTTTGGTGACTGAGCTGCCGAGGTGAAGTGTTTTCTTTTTGAGGGGAACTGTTTGCGTCAACTGCGGCAGCTGCTGCTGCTGCTTCAGCGAATTCGTGGCGTTGCCGCTCCTGCCACACAAGGGCCTCCCTGAGCTGCCTGTAGCATGCGAATCGGAAGACACGCGTAGACAGAACACAGGTAGCCATAGTGGCACGTCAGCACAACGACTCCAAGAGACCGAAGGATTTCCAGAGGGCTGCTCTATCAGCAAACGGCAGGGGAAGACGCAGAAAAACAGCAGCCAGGACGGACTCTGCCTGAAGTCGCGTGTCGGCGTCAAGAAGAGATCGTGCGTGCTGAGGGGCATGCTCCGTTTTGAGACGAAACGCCATTTCTTTTGCTACGCTGTGAAGCTGCAAAACACACATCCGAATCCAACAACAGCACAGAAGGCCCTCTA